ATTGGTCGCCTTACGAATGTTGGTTTGTTGGAAGTCGATGTCGTTTGATGATCGATTCGAAAGGACAACCGAAGAATATTTCAGTCGACGGGGTCGATTGTGATATGAAAAACATCGCTTGTATGAAACAGATCGATCAGATCAAACTAATGGTCATACGAGAAGAAAAACTTTTGATATTTTTCAAATAAACAAAAAAAACAAATTTCAATCTCGATATTTTGAATAGGGATTGAGACCAAAGAGTTTTCGTCGAATTTCAGGAAGGATTTGTTGAAATATCGCTGAGAGTGGAGCTTTGATCTTTCAATTCACAGCATAAAGTTTAACATCACTTATCCTTAAAAAAATCATCGGAAAATATTTCTTAACTTTTAGAAATTCGAATAGAAATCAATCATTTGGTAAGAAACTTCTCGCATCGACATAGACCAGAACAGAATTTTCTTTCAATTCTTGTGGAAAGATGTTTGTGGACAAAACCATAAGATCGTCTCGTCAACATCGTATAGTGATGTCTTTTTCCAACGGAGTGAAAAATCCTTGTGCAATGAGATTTACCAGAATCGTTGCATATTTCGAGTCATCTGTTGTTAAAAGGATTAACTATTCCCTTGCTTCGTCTTTCAATATTTGAATATGATCATCACGTGTCTTAAGAGCCGAAAGACGACTTTCATTGACAAGATGAGAATACTGAATTCGCTTTTGTAATTCAATCTTTTTTCTTTGCTATTATAATTTTCAATGACTTTCAGATGTTTTTGAGAGATTAAACTCTTTTTCCGTTTTCACTTCAATTTCTTCAACTTTTTCAATCACTTCGAGCTGCATGAATGTCATCATTTGTTGGATCTAGATCGGAGAAGAAGGTACAAATGAATAGCAAAGTATAATTTCATTGCAAACTAGTTTAGCAACGTGTCAACGCAATTTAGAAAAAGGAATGCATAAATAGAAAAAAACTGAACTGTTTTGCGAAACAAAGCGCATAGTCTGATACGCATTGAGTATTACGTCAGATTTACGAAAGTTAAATATGCATGTTGATGTATTTTTCATCACGCCTATCTGCATCGCGTGCGCGGACAGATAGATGGTATTTGTTTATGCTATTGTTTTCCGTCCGCGGTAGTATAGTGGTTAGTATCCCCGCCTGTCACGCGGGAAACCGGGGTTCGATTCCCCGCCGCGGAGTATTCTTTTTTTCTTCGCATTACCTTTTATGAAAAAGAAAGATACGTCCATTTTTTATTTTGAAAAGAATCAATCTTTTAAATTCGTTCGTTTTTTACGACGCAATAAGAAGCAAAAAAGAAGTCACTCCGCGGCGGGGAATCGAACCCCGGTTTCCCGCGTGACAGGCGGGGATACTAACCACTATACTACCGCGGACATTCTACTTTCAATGAAATTAACTCCACTAAACTGACTTCAAGGTTTTCCACTTTCTGAAGAAGAACAAACATTTAGGAAAATCTTCGATTACACGCATCATATTCATGGTGTTCCAAATGAGAAGAACATCCGTTTTGAGTATAGATATGTTCGACCTCTATCGAATGAAATCTGTTGGTTTGTTCGATTATCCATCAAAAAAAAAGAACGAAGCAATTGATCGAAAAGCTCTTGAAGAAGTTTACTCATGTAAATAAAATAACTGTTTAAACATAGTACAACATGGCAACAGCACGACCAACAGCGGATCTAGCAGTTCGTTCTTCTTCCGTTTGTTTCTTTTCAAGTTTTAATTGTTCGACCAATTGTTCATTATTATATTTTTCAATATCCAGTAATTTTTTCAGATCATTACATTTTGAANTCTTCTTCAATCTATTCTTATCAACGATTCTTCTTTGTAGCTCGAACGACAAGTTGCTGACTATAAAACAAAACTCGATGAATTACGTCGCGCTAAAGCTACAACTGTTGTCAAATTAGAAAAAGAATATGTTAATACCAGTGTACCTGGGTTTGTTGAAAATTCAACGAGACTTTTGAAGAATTAACTTCTTTATTCGTAGGTTGAATCGACCAGAAAGAACGAAGCCATGTGAAAAATGCGAAGAATATGAAAAACTTCTCGAAAACGAAAGAAAATCGAGTACACAATTGAAGAAATTACTCGAACAAAAAGATAAACAATCATCAAGCAATTCTGGTCCATGTTCAAAATGTAATGATCTGAAAAAATTACTGGATATTGAAAAATATAATAATGAACAATTGGTCGAACAATTAAAACTTGAAAAGAAACAAACGGAAGAAGAACGAACTGCTAAAGAGGTTTTCCTCCATATTTACAACAAAATATATTTCTACGATTGATTTTTTCAGGTACTTGATCGAGCGTTGGACATAACACAAAATGATTTAACCGAAACCAAGAATCTCTGCGAAGCATTACGTGTGGAAAACGAAGATTACAGAGTAAATTATGAATTCACCTTTGAAGCGAAGCGAAAAATTGTTCTTTACAGAAAATCTACGAACGAATGAAACGAGATCATTCAGAAAAAATGGCCGATTTAGCTCAACGAGAAGAAGAAGCAAAGAAACAAGTAAGTCTCTTTTTTTCCGAACACCACTTCAATTAAAATATGAAATCATATGAAGGTCGCAACTTGGGAACAAATGTACAAAGAATGGATGGCAACGATGGAACGTCGAGTTAATAATTTACAAGTGACCAACGAAGAGCTTCAAGTAAAAGATCGATTTGAAAGAAAAATCTTTTTCATTAATGAAATCTTGTAGACTTGGTTACATGATGATAATGAAAGAAGTCCTTACCGTCCAGTTGGTGGTGGTAGTAATAATCATCCTGCAAATCAACGACGATAAACAAATGAAAATTCTTCCTTAATCGTGCTCGTTTTGAATATTTTTTTAACAATCAGTGTGTTTGTTTTGTATTTTGTAACAAAATCTCATGATAATCATTTGCACCGTCCATTTATTTTGCCTTATTTTATATATATTTTTCAATCACTTTTATTTTCAGATGTAATTTCAGTTTTCCATCAAATCTCGTTGAGAATGAGTAAATACGAACAAAGTTTTGTCTTGAAAAGATCTGTTTTCTTATTGTTTAGTGTCATATCCATTACGAGAATATATTTCCTCCAAAAAAGATGATGATTATCATCGATCGTATTCATCAAATGTGCGAAAAACTCAACCCGAAGTAGGAAATTGTCTTCTTCAAACAAAATCTTTTTTCTTAATTTTATTCATAGGAATCATCTTCAAATCGTTTTCTCTATTTGATTGTTCTCATCATTCTCCTGATAGTTCTTTCGATATTCTATTCATATTACACCTATATCGATCCAACTTGTTTCAATGAAGAATGTACAAGTTTTGTGGTAATTTGGTTTCTTAAATAACTAATATTTGATTTATTTGTATTTTGTCAAGTGTCATGCGTATTCGGAAGGTTTAGTTGGTGGTCATTTATGCCCAGAACTATGCACAACGAAAACGATTCAACTGCAGAATTGTTTAGGAGCTCATAAACATTTTCGTTCACGGGTACAATGGAATTTTTTTTATAAATAAGAATGGTCTGATTGACTTTTTTTTTCATATAGTTATTTGAAGATAATGATGAACATCAAGTCATTCGTTGCTATTTAAGACATCCATTGAGCAAATCGAATCCATCGGGAGATGTGAAAGAACATTTTAAGTTTCCTCAAGATGATGCGACATTAGATGTACTTTACAATGCATTGCAACAACATGTTCAGGTTTGTTTTATCGATAAATTTGATGGGATTAAACCAGCTTTTGTTTAGAAAACAATCACATTAGAAAATTCCGAAGCTTTCGTTGAACAGTTGATGACTTTGGCTGATTTTAACAAAGATGGCAAAGTAAGTTCTTAAGATGATTTTATTCATTTCATTGAACATTTGTTTAGATAAGTTTATCTGAAGCACGCAGTATTTGGTCACTTGTCCAAATCGATGAATTCGTCTATACATTATTACTCTCCGATAAATTTTACACACCAAAGATAGTTGGTACATGCGGTCATATCTTTGCAGTTGAAAAAGTTCTCCATCCTAAATTACCTTTCGATGACAAACAAGGTTTATAATATTTTCCTTTAAAATCAACTTCACATTTGACTTTTTCTTTTCTAGAACTACTTACAGGATCAGAACGACCGAATTGGTACCAACGAGTACGATTAGCTGTTGGAATTACCGAATATTTCAGTGATACATGGCACTATCAAGATTCCGATCAACATTTACATTTATGTCAACCATTAGCTAAGTCATTCGGCTATGACAAAGATTATGAATCTAAAGTAAATCTTTTCAAATTCGATGTCGAGAGATCGAGTAGTACAGGTAGATACCAAGAAGACGTTTACGAGTGAATTAACTAAACATTTTCTAATTGCAAATAACACCGAATGTGTTTCATTCTCATTACTATTCTCTGTATTTTTACCCTTCGTTATTTTTTATTTAGATGTTAAAAACCAATCACATCATTTCGTCGAAATCGATCTTATCTCGTCTTCCAAATCAATGCCGTTCGAACAAAGATTGTTCCTATGATTCGTATTGTCACGCGACATGTAATATGTCATCGAATCTTTGTCAAATGAGAGAATTTAATAAAGATTCTCTCCATGAACTCTGTTCGTTATTATCATCATTAGTTCAACCGGATGCGAATGTCACATTTCTCACGGAATTCAATTCGTTGAATCGACAATGTCAACAAATAGTGACAGATGGAAGTATTTATAATAGTGATTTTATGGATTTAACTTCGTTACAAATTCGACAGACACTTTTATTACAAAATTTGAAGAATCTTTTTTGGACAAATATCGAATATCAAATGAGTAAAATAACGAAAAAGTCGACGAAAAAGCCTGTGCCTCCTCCTATTCACTCAATTAAATAAACATTTTCTTCACGTTGTTATTTCTGTGCTTTATTTCACAAATAAATTCTCAAATTCGTTTTCAGATCGATGAATATCGAAGAATTTCTTCAATGGTTCAATTCTCTCGGAGTTCACACAGACAATGTCACTGTTTCCTTTTCCGATCACCACGGTTTCGGTCTTTATTCTTGTCAACCATTCATCGAAAAAGATTCTCTTGTTCTCTCGATCCCCGAAACGCTCTTTATAAAACCTTCTTATCAAATCGAAGATTTCTCAGGTTTTGAACATATCATTCTTCACTTGTTACAAGAAAAATTGCATCCATATGTGAAATTTCTTCGAAGTATTTCATGTATTCCATCTTGGAGACGATTTTCGACTGAACAATATCCTCGACAATTAACGAATCCAATGAAAAAGCATCTGGAGAAATACAATCAATCACGAAACAAATTTACGCAATACAACGACGAAGAATTCCTCTGGGCTTATTATGCGATCAATACTCGATGTGTTCACTTCGATATGGAAAGAGATTCGAAAGAACAAGATGACAATCTTTGTCTCATTCCATACTTAGATTTTGTCAATCATTCAGTTCAACCAAATACAATTTCGAAATTTAACCCGACGACACGTTCGTATGACATTTATGCAATCAAATCCATTGAATTCAACGAACAAATTACATTTCTTTACAATCCACATTCGAATGTTGATTTGTTTATTGAATATGGTTTCATTCTTCAATCAAATCCTTACAATCAACTGAATCTGGAAGACGATTTACAACAAATACTTTCCAATGAACAAATTCAACTATTCAAATCATTCAATTATTGGAATTCTCTAGAATTTTATCCAGGTGATAATGATCTTTCATGGACAGTTATCAAAGCGATAGAATTGAGTTTCAATCAAACCGAATGGTCACCATACGATGATCCATCATCGAAAGAATTAACCAAGAAAATTCAAGAATTTGTCAAATTAGTTCAAGAAAATATCGAAAAAGATTTTCAACGATGGGCTACCGAATATTTTCTTAATGAAAAGATGATCCTTTATAAAGATTTTCAAACTATTCTTCATGATACATCTATTGTTATCAATAAATCGACTCTTGTTACTTAAAATCTCATCTCAGAAGATATTCAGCGATTAACATTGGTTTTTCTAATTAAATGAATATCATTCGAAAGAAATCCGTAGGATTAGACCTAGGTAGACTCGATTTCACCAGGAAATTAGTCACCCATAGACGAAATTCTTATCAAACAATAAAGACTGAAATCTGAAGGAGAGAATTAAAATAAGCTCTGGACTCTTCCAGACACACTCATAGTTCACTATAGGCCAAAATCCATTTTTGTAAATTAAGTATCGAATAATCAACAAGTAATTGACTGATTTCAGAGAAGTTATGTCACGTCTTCTCGTCTCTAAAAGTAATTCCAATATGGGCAATCGGCCTCTGATCTTGATAGAGTAGTGTGAAAACGCACAGTTTACTTCTAGAGACATCTATGATACGGAAAGTATCATCAAGTATAGAGAAAAATAAATCATAAGAATTTAATTTAAAAAATTCTTCGCAATTCATGGAAATTTAATATTCAAAATAAATAGATTGGTATCATGATCCTATCCAATCTCAATCGACTTTGATGAGACAGTTGTTTTCGTCACCTCGATCTCGAATAGCGTAGTAAATTTTCGGATTCCATATAAAAGCATTCAAAATGTCAAGTCTTCCTGAGAATTATCAACCTCCTGATCCAAGTTCACTACCAACGGGTCCATTGGATACCACAACATCAGCGTATGGGTTTTCTCATACCATGATTCGTATAAAAGATCCGCGAGTTTCGTTAGATTTCTATACTCGTATACTTGGGATGACTCTTGTTCGTGTGATGTCAATGCCTGCTGGTAAATTCACGAATTATTTCCTATGTTATCCGCAATCAGCTGTTCCTGATCGAGATAATCACGATCAGCTGATGGGTTGGTTATGGCAACAACAAGGTATTCTCGAATTATGCCACAATTGGGGTACAGAATTACCAGAAAGTGATTTTCAAGGTTACAAATCCGGCAATGAACCCGAACATAAAGGATTTGGACATATCTGCGTGTTTGTCGATGACCTTCATAAAGCTTGTGATCGTTTTACAACGTTGGGAGTTCGATTCAAAAAACGCCCCGAAGACGGACAAATGAGACACATCGCATTTATCTTGGATCCTGATGGATATTGGATTGAAATTATCCAAAAAAGTGCTGGTGATAAAGAAGTAACAAAGAATTGATCAGCCGATTTCAGTTTTATATTCAACGTTTTCATTCATTAGAAAACGAAAAGAACAGTTTAATGCGTTTTAAGTAAATAGGAGATTCCGTGCTTTACTTTGTCTTTGCTATAATATGACTTCCTCTATCTGTTGTTAACAGACGAACAGTTGTGAGATTAAATGGTGTTAAATTGAGTAAACTTTCATGTAAGTACTTGGCAGAAAAACAAAGTAATACTTCTCGTGACAAGTACATTGGATGATCTTAAAGTTCTCGGAATTGCACTGTATTTACTCGAGAAAATCACATTTCATCAGTCTTTCCACATGATATGTTCGGCACATTTGGTGTGATATTACTTGGAAAATTTCTGCCTTTTAACTAACTCTTTTCATATTGTTTCCGAGCAAAAAGTACGTTTTTGAACAGACAGTCTTGGTTATCATCTTAATCAAATTGTTGCAACTGCTGTTTAACTTTTTTATGTCCGGCAAAGCTCAATTTCTTCTCTCTCATTGGCAGATTAACAGCGACAAGGCTTTTCATGCCTTAAAAAAACTCATGATGAAAACCAACTGACACTATCCAGGTCGAAATCATCCCATCGGAAGTTGTCGGATGTCGGAAGATGTGAAAATTCCAAGGTTTCGATAGGATCCTGATCATTTCCGATACTTTCCGACATCCCACAACTTCCGGTCGGATTTCTGTACTAGAGATTCCGATAAATTCCTACCGGATCCGACAAGAACCGATCGCTCGTCTTAGAGTAACTACGTCAGCAAATCTTTTTTTAAATAAATTCTTCTTTATGAACTTAAAAGTTTATTATTACTTTTATAAGTAGTGTTGCAAAATACAATAAGAACCATTCTTAAACATGTAATAATTCAAAAATCACTAAATACATGACCTATATCATTGTTCCTGCCGGTTATTGATGGAAAAAAATGTTTGTATACTACTTTCTGTCTTTAACTCAGGTCTTATAGTGCAGACTTTCGTCGAATATCGTGATGGCACATATCAATCTGATAAACACGCGTGTTATTACTAAAATTTAATCATTTCCGACAAAGATTTCTGAAGCCTCGAGCAATAACCAAAACGGTCTATTGAATCCATATTCTTTACTGGAAAGGAATATCAGAATAGTTACTTAAAAGGCAGAAATTTTCCATAGAATATCACAGCGAGTGTTGCAAACACATAATGTGAAAAGACTGATGAAATGTCATTTTCTCGATTAAATACAGCGCAGTTTCCAGAACTTTTAGATCGCCCTATGTAACTGAATAGTCTTTGAGTATTTTATCACTGCGAAATAATTACTTTATTGCCATTGTGTTTATTTTTCTGTATGAATAAAGGTAAATGAAGATGAATTTCTTCATGTAGAAGCATTGCGTCGCAACAGCAGGCATATAGATTGTTGTGATTGATGTCATTCAGACGAGAAAAGACGGAGTAAAATCGTTTTTTTCTTTTCATTGATTCATATTATTTTTGAAAAAACATAAACTAGAAAAGTAATTCAACATTTGGAAAAAAGAATTGTTAATGCGTTGAAACTATTGATTGTTTACGTAAATTCGAAGCCGATGGCGGTATAACAGTTCCACTATGTTGTCGAACTAAACGCATGTGAACTCTTTGGGAAATTTCTTCTCGTTCAGATTTCGTTCGAAATAAATTGAAAAANAAGGCCATGTTCGAATGCATCGTAGAAAATTGATTTTTTATGAATGATGTAGATATACTGATATAATAAGTATTTATACGAAAAACGAAAGCTGATAAAATTAATCTCATACTCAAATACGATGTCATATTATATTTATCTGAAAAACTCAACTCAAAAGAAGTGAGACAGTACACAGAGTCGAAGAAAAATCTATAAATCATTTAATCTTTAAATCAACCCTTCTGAGACGTACGAATTGATATGTTATCTGGGAATACAGCAATATCATGTGCACTGCTTGACATATTCTTTTCTCGCTTATATACTCACTTTTACGAGATTTTATGAAAGTCTTTATAGTGTCATCTATATGGTTTAGATAGTCTGAGTAGCTGCCTAATTCGACTTATAATATAAGTGACGAATTCCTAATACACTCCTATACATACTTAGGAATAGATAGCGATAAATTTAGCTATGTCTATTCACCCATGCCAGTTTAGGAATAGATAGGATAGGTTCAGCTCTGTCTCTAAGCCCACCTTCATGTACGTTTAGAAATAGATAGGAATAGATTTTGTTATACATAGTTTCAGTAATACTTTCAGCCGAGCTATATGTCCTATGAAGGTGTTCGAAATGGCACTGTTGATAACACGAAAGCCGCTCAACGCTTCCTGAATGAATTACAAACACGGCTTAATGGTGTCGAAAAGGATCTTGAATGGCATAGAAATCGTGTTGAAAACTTGGAGATTGCAACAATATTTGTTGCCTGGATACCGATTGCGGGCTGGATTGCAGGGGGAGGAATGTTAATAGCTGTGGCGGACAGTAAAGATAAAATTTGCAACTTAGAAGTGGAAAAAGTGGTGATCGAAGGGCAAAAAGTTAACATGATGAATGAAAAAATCAGAAGGAACAATTGGAAAAAGACGCTGAAAGGAACCTGCATCGTATGAAATCGATTTTTACGTAGTCGACGAGTTTTTTCCCAGTACTTCATTTATTATGATTGCTTTTATTTTGCTGTACTCAGCTGTAATTTTTTTCGCCAATGTCTTTGATATAAACCACGTCCTATGATAGAAGTCCACCCAAGAAGGAACAATACGAATGAAGTATTATAAGCCCATGGGCTTGTATTAAGTCCAAGATTTGAAATTTTTTAAATTCAGTAGTTTTGAGATTTAGATTGTTTTCATTTCCCTTATTTATATTGAACATTCTTCCCATTATGCACACTTTCTAGCTAAAATCGGCATTATTACAAATCAAAATGAAACGTTATTTGTTGTTTTCTCTTATGCGCAGATGATTTAAATTTATCAATTTATTGCACAAACGAATATGCGATTTTTTGGTTGTGTTTGACCAAAATGTTTCACAGAATTCTTTGCAATACTTTGATTAGTTTCATAGACCTTTTCTAGTGAATAATTTTGTTTTTTGCTATTTTAATAAACGATTTCATTGATAAATATACTAAATCAAGCGTAATGTTCTCTTTCTCGTAGAGAAGAGTCTTAGAAACATAAATTGTTTGCTTGCTTGCTTGCTTGTTTGCTTGTTTGCTTGTATGTCCGCAGGGTCAAAAAAACATTGAAAATCGATTTTTCGGAAAAGACATTTCCAGATGTATTTCGATGCGGAGACTTCGAATCTGATGTTAGTTTTTCGAAATTTTCCATAAAAAAAGTTTTTTTGAGACAAAGGACCATTTTTTTACAAAAAACTTTTTTTTTATAAAATTTTACGAAAGGGTTTTTGGGGTCCAGGAACTCAAATCTGATGTTAGTTTCTCGAAATTTTCCATAAAAAAAGTTTTTTTGAGACAAAGGACCATTTTTTTATGAAAAAAAGCTGTTTTATAAAATTTGACGAAGGAGTTATTTGGGGCGATGAACTCGAATCGGGCGTTATTTTTTTGTAAAAAACAGTTTTTTTTGGAAAATTTACCGAAGACATTTTGGGGTCGGAGAGGACAAATCTGATGTTACTTTTTTGAGAATTAAAAAAAAATTTTTCAAACCAAGGATACCGATTTTGAGAAAAACATTTATAACTTGTATGATACCGAGTATAGTCAAGTGTATAAGTATGATGAATAAAATATTGTGTTCAATGTCTCGTTATGTAATAATTAGTAATTACCTTTCGCAAACGGCTTTTGAACTAGCGTCCATCTATCAGATAACAAGACCGAGCTTCTACCCGGTCTCTTACCCTTCGTACCCAACATGCCTGTACTTCTCACCGATAACATTGCGTGTGAACTAGGGCTTTCGAATGGTACACAAGGAATTTTTCGAGAGCTCGTATATGATGATCAGCAGGAGCCAGGAGATTTTAAGATAAAGAGCGATGTATTTCCCTCCAATACAATATACATACGAAAACCATTATATGCACTTGTGGAAATTAATACATCACAAGTAGAAACAAATCTTGATGGTCTTCGCCCTAAACTAATTCCTATTCCATTAATCAAAAAGCGATTCACTGTTCCTATAAAGCAACTCTTCGGACATTTACTCGATCGAGTGCAAAGTGGGAGAAAAATTCCACAAGTCATTCAAGTTACAAGAACACAACTACCAATTGTACCTGCCTTCGCTATAACTACATACAAAGCGCAAGGACTCACAATGAACAAAATCGTAGTCGATCTCCAAGTTCCGCCTGGGACACTGCAAGTAGCATCGATATATGTACCACTCAGTAGAGTGAAGAAAGGGGATGATATAGTTATCCTTCGACCTTTCGACATGAAGGTTCTACAAGTTCAACCTTCTTCTGCGCAAGATGCTGAACTGAAACGTTTAGATGAACTTGACAAAAAGACAAAACGAGAGTGTACGTCTTTCATTTTTTGAAACATGTGTAAATCAATACTTTCCTAACAGTCTAGTGTTATTGCAAGCATATAAAACGTATTATACTTTGAAATTACCTTAAAATAATTATTCATGCATGCTTATTTTCTTTATCTCTTGCTTCACATTTATCTTAATTATTGTAGTAACTGTCTCTTTTCTCTCATTGCATCAGATATTGCCTATCGTGTTTTCTTAATTTCGTTTTTTGATGTAATCATCCACAATCTTCCTAACTGTATTGATATTTCTTCACAATACCTAATGCTCTATTTAACATTTGGTAAAATATCTATTGTTGCTTTTGTGAAAATATCTAATCTACACTAAAAATAAATTAATATACACAATAATAGCTTTAAAGTGTAATATCTGAAAGCACGATTTCTACGAGAAAGAGCTGAGCGAGTTGCTAGACGAGCGTTACTTGTGTGATAGAATACGTCCGATGTCATCTTCAGTATTGCAAAGGAAACAAATTGTACGTATTTATCGGAGTAATAGTAAAAACGTTGTTCAAGGGCAACATAATTAATCTTTTCAATTGTTTTATTGATTTTATTTGATGAAAATGAAATTCGGAATTATTACTTAGTATTCATTCACTCAAAATCTTCAAACTTTAAGATCAGTCGAAGTATAGTTTATGTGCCGACCAGAACATACGAAGGAACAGAGAAAGAGAGAATCGGACAACTTTTTATGAATGTTCCTCGTGGTCAGAATTAGAATTCATTTTCGATTCTTGTCGTTCGTCTCGTGTGTATCGAAAATACCCGATTTTTCTATTCATAACAAAGAAAAGTTCGTTCACTTGAAACTTGAACGAATATCTATGCAACTTTTTCGTGGTGCTTCCGTTGTCGAATGTTTTGATGAAATTTGTGATGTTCATATTGCAAGCAGTCGCAAAATCAATCGAAAAACAAGTATCATAATGTCGCTTTTATTTCACAGGTTCGAATTGGTGAAAGATATTTTTCTAAAACACTTGAATATGTCGAATATTTTATTTCTCGTAGATTGCTATTATTGGGTTTATTGTTGTCGAATTATTGGTATATTTTACAGAGATTGTGAATGAAAATCGATCATACGAACAGAGATCAATCATCTATCGATATGTCTCTCATCAATCCTCGATGTTGACATATCTGACCATGTACGTTGTCAGAATACTTTCCCAAACAAGGTTCCTTCTCATGAATATTACCCAAGACGATCGTTCCTAGAAGCAGTATTCCGCTTATTTCCCGTGAAAACCCGCAGAATATTTATAGTATCCGCGCTGGAAACCACGAGAAAATACTCGGAATCCCACTGAAGGAACCGGTAACCGTATCCGACTAATGGTTATGGCGGGTTCTTGCTGGTTCCCGATAAAACCTTTTAAATGCGATGAAAGGATTCGGTAGCCGGAATACTGGTTCCATGAAATCCCCGGAAGGTCCTGGAACTAGTCAGTTCCGGGCCGGATTCTTCGACCTGGGCAAATTATATTTTGTGGTGTTGCCGCGGCTCAATCCGTATGGGGTATGTTTGTCAACAAAAAAGAATTGAAATCATATTCTCTCCTACACGTGAGTATTCATTTTCTTGCTTTTCTAAATAATACACAATGTATTATGATCAAATGATTTTACAGATCATCACAAAACTGCTCGCTCTCCTTGTGTTTGTGGTATCATACATTATGCTCAAATGCAATGTTGATGAAGTATCTCACAGACAAATGAGTGAAGACTGTGAACGATCAAGCCCAACTCAACAACAACACCCACCGTTGATCGAAGAGAAGACAGTTTGAAGCGTTTTCCATCATCTTTAGTTTTAGGAATAGTTTTTTAAAAGGAAAGTTTCGGTTATTAGACTCGATTCGTATAACAATGCAATCGAGTATTATTACTATTGAAAATTATATTGAACTAGTCAAAGGTTCGAAATCGTAAAAGCACTTGAGAATATGAAGGTATCGTTTGAGATGAGCATGTGTATTGCCAACAAGACATGATAATTCAGCAGATAATGCATTATTCGTTGAACAGTACGTTTCATAAAGAGTTCAAAATGTTGAATCTTTTGAAAATTCACACCAGTTGCGAAGAAGTTATTTGTGAAAATTGAAATTCATTTGATAACGAAAATGTCAGATGACATCTTCATCTTTTCATCAGTTTCCAGTGTCTATATTAATTCAAATTTCTTTGAAATCTATCAACATTAACTCATAACTCAATAAACAATTGCCATATGGCTGTAAGAAATATTTTTCAACGCATATCATTCTCGTTAATATTTCTTTGAAAACTCACATTGAAATCACTGACCAGTACGAAGTTGATGTCAAAGTGTCAAAATAAGAAGGCTGACGATGTGGACTCGCTTTGATTTATAGTGCCGACTTCGGCATGAATGAATTTGTGTTTCGATAACGGCGACTGAATATCGTATCTTTTTACCTACAAACTATATTGGAGATATTTTTCTGTTTCAATTCTGAAAGAGAAAAGAGCTCTTATCTTCTCCGTTCGATCGTAGTGGTCAATAAATCAACACCATCTATGAGGAGGGTTCTTATTGGATAAACTTTTGACATTTTGTTCTCTTTCTTGAATATTTCACTATTGCTGCCTAGAAAACAAAGTTGCAAAGATTGACCCTCGAGTGCTATCTGGAGATTTTGTTGAAGAGAAATAGTAACAGTTTTTGCTTGTCCACCTCAATGTCAATCCTTTTGCAGACAACTTTCCTCAGCGTTATAATTAGAAGAAGGCCGTTTGAAAGGAAATTCTGACAAATAATCTTCTTGTTCCTCATTATCTTTAGTGATCAGTCAGGTTTGATGAAATGGCTGACTATCATTTCAATAACACGATGGCATCGTTTCGTCCGCTCTCATGTTAAAGAACTTATAAAAATCTATGATCCTATTCTTATTCATTTTCAAGTTCTTTGATTTCTATCTGATTCACTAAACAATGTCTGTTGTTACTTTTATTGGTTCTTTTCTAGATAATCTATTTAATTGTTAACTGTCTAACGATGTCTTCTCAAGTTGATCGTCATGCAACAATAAGTTTATGAAATATCATCTCCGTCTTCTGGATAATTCAAACACAGCTGTGATGACTTCAGTTTCACATATAAAACCCTACTTGGAGTAGAAAATTTAATTGGCAAATAGAAAAAGTTTTCATTGATTGATCGTCCTAAACACATCAATAATAAAATGAATTGAAGGACAATAAACACAGATAAATAGAAATTTGATTTCGATCATTATGAAGGAAGTTTCTTCTGAATTCGTAATATGATTAGCGCAAACCCAAGCTGCAACATGCCGTCAGCTAATTATGCTAAAATATTTTAACTTTCCAAAAACAGTGTAAGTTCTATCAAATGAACAAATATCAGCTACTACCAGTTATCAAAATTCATTGAATATTGTCTTGTGCTTCCTTGAAAACTTCAACCTCATGTAAATCATTAATTGAATTCGAGAAAAAAAAAGATTTCTCGTATTATTCTTAACTCTAATTCTTTTCTTTTGTTTCATTCAAAGAGAAATGCAGAAACGCCTTATGAAGAAAACATGCTCGAACCGGATATATCAATCCTAGCGCATTTATTGGCGACGTTCACATTTGTTGCAACTTCCATCGCTTGTTTTAAATGCGCCATCGATAGCGCAGTAAGTGTGTTCTTGAATAATGATGGTATGAAGCCAACGTGGTGTAGAGAAAAATAATAATGAGAGCTGAGATTCGATGGAACGAGCTTCTGTCATGTGAGAGATGGTCGAAATTGGAAAGAACCAGTCATGGCACCATCGGATCAAAATGGAAGATTCTCGGAATACTGAGGAGCTTGATAATGTTTTTTTGTAAAATATTCACCTATTTGAATAATTTTCATCGTTTTGGTATCGTTTGATAATTATTAGATGTGTTTTTAGAGAAAAAATGGAGCTAATCACAATTGACTATTTCTTTATATAGGCAATATATGCATGGAAAAGTTCACATATGAATTGGTGGATAGTTTTTAGTATTGTTTGTATATGGATCGGTGTTCTAGCTATTTGTTTTGGTTTAATAGTGTTAATTAATCTTTTTTATTGCGTATACACACTCTTGAATAAGAGACAATTATCGAAAAATGAAGTACAAGTGAAATGAAATTTTTCACGAATAGATAAGCAGCATTTTTGATATAGGTACACAATAATCAATGTGAAAAGCGATCATCTGTTCATGGGAAATTCAAATATCTTCATTTTTATAAGAATTTGTTATCTTGGTTTCTCCATCAAGATCATCAACAAGAATTTGTCATTTAAAAAGAGACATGATCTTTTTTCTACTCGAAGATTATTATTCATTGTTTATGTAAATCAAATCTCGTCAAATATTCTCGTTATCAAAACTCTTTTTTTACAGTTTAAGTGTAGCTATTGAGTAATAATTTTTTTATTATGTTGTAAATAAAATCAATCAAACCGATGATATCATATATCTTGCGAATGAGGATGCTGATTCGATCTACAGTTTCACTCATTTTTTGCAACGGGTTTAGTAGCATCTAATACTTCATGAATTAAATAGATGCATGATCTTCAGCTAATCGAACATTGCTGTTATGTTTCGGTACTGTTTTGCTTATTCAAAATATACATAAATAAAGGTAACTAGACTTTTGGACCTGTCCAGAGTCGTTGTCAAGAGCTAATGATGAAAAATCGACTTAAATCTTGACCTATGTGATTAGGAGATTGAAAATTAAAGGAAATAAACATCTACTAATCATGACTATTGACAAGAATTATCTTTGACGATCTGATTGAATATTTCAATATAAGCGTGTTCGCAGTGATATCGATGTGCAGTACACTTGACATTCATCATTTCGTTTGATGTTGACTATCGTTTAAATATATTGTTAAGAGAAGATTACTTTTTCTGCGCCGTTTCTCAATGAAAAGCCGACTACTCTGACTGAGTGACTTTTAATGATGTATTTCGTGATTTCTATGTCGAAATTTTATTTTATTTTAAAACTTTTCAGGAATCACGACATTGTTATTGTTGTATGTGTCTTTTCCGTTTCGTGGTAAATAGTTGTTGCCAGGAAAATAGATTATAAAGATTGCAGCAGAGAAGAATATTGGTATTGTGTCAAATATGTAAAAATACAATTCGTGTACTGCTAAATAACCGGTGAAACCTTGAGCAAATTCAATAACACGATAAATTTGTCGAATCAACACGAGAATACTACTGATATAGATCACATAGAGAAATCGTCGCCATCGTTTCTCATAAATACTTTCAGGTAGGAAAACAGGTGGCAATTTTCTTATCCGATACCCGAAATAGAAGAGTTGTAAACAGAAAATGGCAAAGGAAACAAGATTAACGATGAGACCTGCNACGGCTGATATTTTTTTCTGAATTTTCTGCAATGAAATCAATTCGTCGAATCTTTACACTTGAAGAAAAATCCTCCGACAACAGAAATGAATCATTCGTATTTATTAATGGTATTCGAGTATTATCTTTGTTTTTGATAATTATGGCTCATTCTTTACTTTTCGGTTTGTCCTACACAAGTAACATGATAGATGTTATGGTTGCAAAACGTAGTATATTTTTCCAATTGATATCCAGTGCTCAATTTAGTGTTGATACATTCTTTGTTCTAAGTGGATTTTTGACTGCAATCTTATTTATTCGTCAAGTGGAAAAGGAGAAGAAACTTTCGGTTCGACTGATGATTCTTTATTATATTCATCGATATATTCGATTAACACCAACATTTCTTTTGATGGTCCTTGTCAGTATCAATCTAACACCGTATTTTGGAAATGGACCGATGTATCCGGTTGAGCAAGGATTTGAATCGAAAGGTTGTCGAACACGATCTTGGTGGACATCGATTCTTTATTTGGGCAATCTAGTACGACCTGATGAGATGTGTCTGAATATTGCGTGGTATCTTCATAATGATATGCAATTTCATTGGATAGCACCATTAACGTTAATTCCATTTGTTCGTGGACAAAAGCTTCTATCATTTTTAATTCCCATCGCTTTTATCTTCATTACGATGATCACAACTTTGTCGATTCTTCTGTATTATCCGAATATGTCACTCAATGAGCCAACTGGTAGAGCACATAATGTGAGTTTTTCTGTACGTAGTGAGTAGCATTGTTTATTTGTTTGTCTTAGGATGGACCGAGTTTTTATAGCACCATTTATATTAAGCCCTGGTGCCGTATATCTGCATATGCTATTGGACTTCTCACTGGATACATTACTGTCATAACCGGTCGGCAATATCAAATGAAGAAACGTTTTCAACTGCTCGGAACCATTATCAGTCTCGGGTTTATTTGTGTGTGTCTGTTTGCGTCTTATCCTGACAGCATTCGTGTACCTGGCCTAAGTCGATCCGAAAGTATTACATATGTGACTTTCTCACGGACCCTCTGGTCGATTGCTATCGGTTGGTTGTTATTTCTATGTAGTACAGATCAAGGTGGAGTAGTGAATAAAATTCTTTCTTGGCCTATTTGGATTCCATTTGCACGACTTAATTATTCATGTTATTTGGTTCATACGACAATTATTTATATGATGATATTCAATCAGACTCAGCCTTTCTATTATCAAGGATATCTTTTTGTGAACAATTTTATTGCGCAGATATTTCTCAGTTATTTTGCAGCTATTTTTATATCGACATTTTTTGAAACACCATTTTTTATTATCGAGAAGAAATTGTTCAAACGTTAAATAAAAACAACAGTAATCATGTGTTCATTGAATCCTCGAAATGAGTGACGAACAAATTTCATCAGAAGGGTGTGACTAACAGGTGAAGATGTCAATGAGGACAAAAATTGATACAACGTACTGAGCTACAACTAAATTTTGAAAGGCGAGAAAGATATAAGGAGACAAAATTATCATTGCTCGGCAATGACAGGCTATAAAGTTTGGTATTTGTTCCGACATTTTTTTCTTTTGATGTTTTCATTTTAAATAGAATTTACATGAGAATATATACAATTCACCAATGAATAAATATAACAAACTATTGAAAATCCATCTTTTTGTTTTTTGATCGACGGTTAGGCAAAGTCTATTGGAAAATTCGCTTAATGATAGGTAACTATGGCCCTACAGTATTGTTGGATCGGTAATCTTTTGCTGTCGATTAACTAACTTTGAGCCCTATAAATCGGCAAATATCTCATTGGAAAAATATGGTTCGTTTCAAAATGAGTGTTACTTTACTTGATCTGACATTTATATGATAAAATGAGAGAACGAAAAAGATTTATTCAGTGAAATAAGGAAAATAGTCATGAAAATGTTCTGAATAGACAATAATTTCATCGAAGATAAGTTTTTTTAGTTGATTACAATTAATTTGTGTTGTAACATTAGTAAAATTATCTGTAACAATAACTAATTTATCATATTGTATTTTAAGTATGGAAAGTTTTGGAACACGTGCTTTTGTATCACATAGAAATTGATAAGCATAATCAATGTGCGCATGAGTTAATCTTAATCGAACAAGATTATTATATAAAATACATGATTGGTTTTCAAATTTATTAACTTGTGCTTGAAAATTATCCACTGCNAAATTATCGGAAACATAAATAGACCTATATGAGGCAAACAAAGATGTGGTAAACTTTTTTCCAAAGTTTGTCCGGTGAATAAAAATACCACCATTCGATGCAGAATTAAATTCTGAATCGAATGGACTAGGTTTTATGAACCGGACAAACTCTGGAAAAAAGTTTTTAGCTTACACACAGTTTCTTCGTGCTAGCTCCTTCGTGCTAGCTTCACACTGATAAAGAATTTTGTTTTTCGATTTAACTCAAAGACAATGATAGATAAAATTTATTACTGAGGGTGAGAAGAACTACACCTTTGCGTTTCATACATGATACAGGTTGAGATTTTTATCGAATTCTCTGCAATAAAATCAATTCACCAAATGTTTACATTGGAAGAAGAGTCTTCCGACAACAAAAATGAATTATTCGCATTTATTAATGGTATTCGAGTACTATCTTTGTTTTGATAATTGTGGCTCATTCTTACACAAGTAACATGATCGATATTATGGTTGCGAAACGTAGTATATTTTTTCAATTGTTATCGAGTGCTCAATTTAGTGTTCATACATTTTTTGTTCTAAGTGGATTTTTAACTGCAATCTTATTTATTCGCCAGGTGAAAAAGGAAGAAAAGCTCTCATTTCGGTTGATGATTCTTTATTATTGTATTAATAGCTAAAAATGTGTGTGAATTGAAACTATAGTCTGTTCGAAATTTTTTGGTTTTCGACCAAAGTTGGGTTTACCATTTTTGTATCGAGGTTTTTGAAACACCATCTTTTATTATCGAGAAGAAATTGTTCAAGCGTTAAATAAAAACAACAGTAGAGAGAAAACAAATAGAATAATATTTCTTCGTATCGGAAAGAGATTTTATTTGAAAAACGACATTTATGTTTGTACTCAAAATAGTTGACGTTATATGGTGTCATCTGTTGGTGTGAATAATTGGCGCAGACAACAAATTCTGCAAGCAGTACAACAGTTCTGATTTAGTGAAGAAAGGAAGTAAAAGGAAAATTTAACATTTACATAGGTATATTCGTACAAGAGTAGAAAGTGTTCGTATTACTAAATTCTTTGAAGTCATACCAAAACTTATTTTGTATATACTTTTCTAATTGATAGATTGTATTATTCACAACACAGTATTACTGGTACTATCTTTACGTATCCATCGGATCTTCAAAATGAGTGGCGACCAAATTTCAACTGAAGACATTATGTTGATTTGTGTAGAACCTGTCAACATAGATTCGACATTCATAGATTATTTTGAACAGAATGGAATGAATGTATATAACTTCGAAGATATTGACGAATGTATTGAATATATTTTGTCACTTGATCCAGAAGATGTTTTTGTTTTTGTGTGGCTTGGTCTTGGATGGAATCATCTCATTCCTATTTTACACGAATTTGAACACATTAACTGTGTGTATCTCACTGAACCTACCCATTATAGTTTCATATCTAAAGTTCATGGAGTATATACTCATCCTGGCGAATTACTTCAACAACTTATTCGAGATATACGAATCTGTAATCAAAATAGTTCAACACATTTGAATATGTTTTACAACCAGGAAACATCAACAATTCATAATCCACAAGGAACTATCGTTCAATCCCTATGGTCTGAATTACTTTTAATATGTTTACTTCGAATGCCCCGACCTTCTGCAGATGTTTATAAAGACGTGATAAAAGAAGCGCGGTTCTTCTATCGCAACAATGCAGTTCAGCTTGCCCAAATCGATGCTTTTGAAAAGAACTATCGTCGTGAAGATGCAATCCGCTGGTACTCGCGTAATTCATTTGTTTATCGATTAGTGAACAAAGCTCTTCGAACTCAAAATTTGGTAATCCTTTTCAAATTTCGAACTATCATTAAAGATATCTACGAACAGTTAACGAAGTTGTACCATGAACAATACTTTACTGGAAAAACGGAAAATAGTAGGTGCTTTTCTTCTTGAAAAATTCAAAGAGATGTATGTTCTCATCATTAATTGTAGAACTTCTTGTTTTTTGTCTGAACTATGTATATTTTATTTGTAGAAGCATTGTCGACAATTACATTATTTCGCGCAATGAAACTGACATCTGCGGAAAGTAACCAGCTTCGATCATCGAAAAAAGGTTCAATTATATCGATAAATTCATTTACATCTGCATCAATCAATCCAGCTGTAGCAATAGCATATTTGGGTGATGACTCAGAGAGAGATGTTATGTTGGAGATTGTCATTGATAGAATGTCACTCAAGTCAGACACTCTACCGTTTGCGGCGATTCATTCATTCAGCATGTTCTCAGATGAAGAAGAAGTGTTACTATCAATGGGAACTAGACTGCTAATCGAATCAGTAACGACCAATGATCAGTATAAGAATATTTGCATTAAAACTCGATTGTGTTATGAAATGGACGAGACAATGAAAGAACTGAGAACATATATTTTAGAAAAACAGTTGTATCATGGAATGGATCAGTCTTACTATATAAATCAACTTTTTGGACTTCTCATCTCGACAGGTGACATGAAACAACTAAATCAGATGCGATCAGTATTTGAGCTGAATCATCAGCAATCTCTAAAAACCGTTTGTGAATCGATTATCAAAGTACAAAGCTCAATAAGAGATTTAGCCTATGGAGATGATCCTGATCTCAATTCATTGAAAATGGTTTCGAATTTATTCACATCGATAGATGCTTTAATACGTGACGTAGATAAATCGGGAACAGTGCAACACTTGTTGGCGCCGCTCTTCCAGGGGTTGACGAATATTTCACATACTAGCGAGTCTGTTGGTTACTTAGAGACAATGCGACAACAAATGCCAAAGATAGTTTCCTTATTGAAAGAAGCGATTAAAATGTTCGAGATGCCTCCATCACATCCTGCAGTCGCAAGTCTTCGATATGTAATATGTGCCGTTGAAAGTCTACAAGACAATCATATGAAAGCCATAGAATACTTTGATAGAGGAGATGCATCTCCTTCAACTTCCACAGTGCTTAATCAAATAGTACAATCACCACTAATGCTTGCAAATATTGTAAAAAGCGCCAATGTACTCGGCAACCGTGATTGCTCAGAAAAGATTATAGCAGATCTCCATGATCGCACGAATCCTACCGTTGAAATAATTTTCACTTTAGCTGAGCACTATGATCAGATAAAAGACTGGTCTATGGCAATTATAAACTATCGCCGTATAATCGACGAATGCAACTTACCGCTTAATTCAATATCAATTATTGTAGCTTATAATCATATTGGTAGCGCTTTCTGCGAATTAAACGATTTCGAATCAGCATTACTCAATTTTAACCAAGCCCATCAGCTCTTGCTGCAACATCATCCACCTACACATCCTCTTTTGTCCCGAACACAAATTCTGATTTCGACAACACAGTTGAAACAAATGTGCTGGAACAGCTTCCCCAATTATTATCTTAATCATCAATCATGACTTTTGACAAGAATATTTTACTTTTTCGAATTATGATTGCACTAGAGAATATAGCCGTCGGCTTTGAACACGAGGATTTCTTTGCCTTTAGAATCTATACGATCTTCAAGTCATACCAGCAATTTTACATATAATAAACTTGAATTCAAATTGTAAAAGAATTATTTGCTTCATGTTCTGTACTCGTACTAAAATTTTCAAGTTTCTGAGTTTTGAAAGTGAGTAACGTGTTGAACACATTCGTTTTTTACAATATTCACGCCATGAAATATATTTTACATTTGTTTCCACAAACTGAGACGTAAGAAACTATTTCCACTGTATTATCAGAACTTTAGCGCAGACCAGAAATGATCTAGCTCGTCGGATCTATAGTCACAGAGTTTCATTTGCCGACAACAACGAATTGTCGATAGCAAAGATTATCACTGCTTATAATATTCAGTCACCAGGCAAAGTACAAGGCGAAGGCGTCGCCAAACTACTAAAGAGATCTTATAGTCAATGATCTTTCCACAAAGTTCTATGTGGAATAATGATTCCATACTCGTCTTCTACATCTTGCAAAGTCAAACTGCCGACTAAATTGCGTGAACTGCGAACTCATCAGGAGCTCAGAACCAAAAATTGCATCTTCACATGACTTCATTAAAATAAGTTGCTAACGGCCTTAATGTCTCAAACAATCATCACACACACCTCCACTCTCACTCGTTGTCAATAAATGCACTCCCTTAAAATTAAATTTTGTTAATTTAGTTCAAGATTTGGATATTATTTATTTATCTCTTACGAAAGCATTCCATTACATTCGAATAAGAAAAGCAAATCAGCAATCGAATTGTTATTGACAAGCGAAATAAGAAGTTTTCATTTGATAACACGAGGTATTCATTCAATTCAACATTCGAGATTAGCTGGGTCCGTATTGAAATAGAGATGCATTGCGGACACACCTCCGAGGGTATCATAGATTGGAAACAAGCATTTCGGAACAGGAATCAGAAATGACTAAAATACAAAGTTCATTGCATCAGTATCGCCGAAAGTAATACATACTGAAAGAACAGCTTTTGATGGAGACTCAACTCGATGTGATGATTTCATATTGGCCATGATGCTCCATCCAAAAGCATTCAATTGACCTTTATTATACATAATGAAAGCTGGTAAGAACTCCGAACAGTTCAGATTTAAATGATTGTTATACCAATAGTGTCTACCTGTTGAAAGACCAAAAGTAGGTCAGATAAAAAACGAAGTGAATAAACTAACCCATGGTCTTAAAACAGGCACCTGGAACCCATTTTGTTCTGCCAAGATCATTTTCCCAAAGTGGCACTTCAACAGCATCTTGCAATGGATTTGATCCATTCTGAAAAAATAGACCAGTTCCCGTTCCTTCATGTTCAAGACGTGACAAGGTACGTCCAACACTACAAATTGTAGCTAGAGTAGAAAAAGATCAAACAATTGACAAAATAAATTCGGATAAGTCCATACCAGGAGGAACAAAATATGCTGTAGCAGTGTACATATCGATGCCATTGATTGTCTCTCGATTGTACATCCGTTGAGTGTCAAACGAATAGAACGCTCTGTTAGCAACAGATCGAGGGAACTAAACAGAATAGGCAGAGTGAAACACGAAGTAATACACAAATTACTCCAATCTGAATGCCAGCAATAGTTCCTTGTTTGTCATATAAAAGAATAGCTGCAGAATCATTACCTTTCCAATAACGATGACCAACAGTTGTTCTGCCTGAATTTCAACATAGTAAATGAAAATTTGAAAGTCATGATTGATTCTTACCGAGACATTGATCTCCTAGACCATTTGGAAGTTTACTGTATCCTTCTTGTAAAGCTTGTTGCACTGTTCTTGGTTGTCGAATGAACACTTTATCATTGGATACCAATGGATCAGGTCCCCACATAATCTTAAGTGTATTCCATTCTACTTTTCGATTGAGATTTTGTGAAGATGATAATAAAATCGAAGCTAAACAGGAGAGATATTCAATATATAATCGCATTACTCCAACCTACCGAAGAAGATAAATGATAAAATAGTAAAAACCTTAGAACCAGACATCTTTGTTCTTTTTCTTTAAATACAACAATGGATTAAAATCACTCCTTCTATCTATCTATATATATATATTTATTATATTTCTGCATCTGTCATCATTACAGTAGTAAAAATAAGCGTTTATCCAACGTTACTCATATCTTTTCGTAAAGATCATGTTTGCAAACAGATTTATTGTTAAATCTATGCTATGTCATATAGTCGAGAATGACGTATACAACTTGAAATATTAAGAACAGCAGCTCTTTCTTATCTAATTATATTAACAAGCGTCGATTGAAATAATCATTTACAATCTTACTTCTTTGATAATGATCGTTTCGCTGAAAATATTAGCTATGCAGATTGGAATTATTTTGAACAACTCGCATGAAATATTCATATAGTTTTTGTTCACCTAATTTCGCAACACACAGATTTATGTTACAAAATAGATCGTATAAAAGTCCAAAGTATCTTCTAAGCGCATGTTGATTCTTGCAAATGAATCCACATTGTCATTAGGTATAATAACTGGTACGTCTCTTTGATTTACAGAGAGAATATATTGTGCCAACTCGAAGATGTAAAAATTAAATACATCGTTCCTTGATGCATGAACCCTAAAATACGGTTTTTGCTTCTGTTCAAACCAAATCGACTGTCTTTTCGGTGAAAATCTGATCGAGACGAAGTAATTGTTCTTCGGTTATGCATTGAAACGATGTGCACGTCATAATTCGCTCAAATAACTCAGTATCAAGGTCAATATTGAAAAATGGAGCAAGTTGACGGATGACTGAGCGAAAAGCATGCCTCGTAGCTTCGTAAAATGTGGAAAATGTATTATGATTATTCTTATCTTTCTATGCAGTACGTAAGTGTCGAAAATAATCATCGTATGGTGGATAACTATAAATAACCGCATCGAGAAATGTCTCAAAATGAAGATTTGTCAGGTTTTGCCTCATGTATTTTGAGAATAGACTAATAATAAGAGACGCACACGTTCCTTGGATAAGTTCTGTGACCCAAAAGTAAATGAGTAGTGATCACATTCGGTAGATATATATTTTATCTATACTTTGTTCGCCCACTTTCTGCATAGTATAGGCGTACGCGCAAAATATTTGACCATACTATCATCGAACGATTTACCATGATTTAAAAATGTCGATATGTGGTTTGTAATTCAATGCTGAACGAACGATGTTAGCGTTAGTAGTTTTGGACAGTGAGATTCCGTCAACCAGTTGAATACCTTGAATCAAGTTAATCACTACGGAGATCCTGATTACTATACATGAATGTGCGTATTTTAGGCACAGTAAAACAGGTAAAGTGACGTAGAAACTAGACTACATGTTAATTTAATAGTACGCATAGCATTGATGTTCTCTTCGTGATACATTTTAGTGCGGTAACAGGTTTTGAGAGAAATTTTACAAAATTATTGACGAAATAGAAGAAGAAGAAATACTTCTAATTAGCTTGATAGAATAAAATTTAAAAGGATTACAACAAAAATACTGATTGACACTTTACTGTTATGTATCACCTTAAAACGTCATCGTTGCTTACTGATACGACTTCCGTTCTGCTCGACTCAGTATCGTCCATTAAATATTTCAGTATCTCATCGGCATGACCTTTAGTTTCATTTCATTCTTGTTAGTGATGAAACGAAAGCTTTTTTTCTTTTTGTTGTTATTATTAAATCAATAGCTTTCGATCAAGATAGAACTTGATTCATATGTTACAACGATTGTCTAAAATATATGACCTATAGAACTTCTTACTTCTTCCATTACTCTAAACTCCTGTTCGTGATGAATGAATGATTGAACAGTGTAGTGATGTTCTCATAATAACTTAAAGTTTGTCATGACAAAAATATTCAATTATACTTAATATATTTTAGTATCGTTCTTCGACAGAAAACTATTTGATTCATACTAGCTCGCAGCTGTCTTCTGATGAGTTTTTCCTCGACGTCCAATAATTCAACGGGGATATGGCGAATAAGATAGATAATACTGTTGGACTTTGCCATATTTGCGCAAAAATGATGCTTATCAGCCTGAAAGAAATGAATATGTCAACACAAGATATCTAAATACTTTGCATGAATTTTTTTTCTAACTACTATAAATTTAAAACGAATCACAAGAGTTTATTCATTCGTAAATCGTTGCTCATCCAAATTCTTTTATTTTCATCATATGGATGAGTTCGCTAATTCAGCAGAAGATGTAATACTTGCTTGTTTGCGATCTGCTCATCAAGATACCATTTCCATAGATCAACTACAAGCCACTGGAATTGACACATATGAGTTTGATGATGTTGACGAATGTGTTCAATACATTGTGTCACTCGATCCAGAAGATACATTCGTTTTCATATGGCTTGGTTTCGGATGGAATCATCTCATTCCCATCTTACATCAGTTCGAACAGATTCACTGCATCTATCTTCATGAACCAACTCATCATAGGTCCATATCAAAAGTCCACGGAGTATTCATTCATCCTGATGAACTACTTCAGCAACTCGTTCGAGACATTCGTGTGAGTCAAGAGGGACAGTCTACACATCTCAATGTGTTCTACAATCAAGAAACAACAACCATTCACAATCCACAAGGAAATCCTATTCAAGCGATATGGTCTGAAGTACTTTTGCAGTGTCTCATTCGAATGCCAACGCCTCCTACAAATGTCTATGGAGAAATGATCAAAGAAGCGCGCTACTTTTATCGCAACAATTCAGTTCAACTTGCCCAAATCGATGATTTTGAAAAGAACTATCGTCGTGAAGATGCCATTGAATGGTATTCGCGTGATTCATTTGTGTATCGATTGGTGAACAAAGCTCTTCGAACTCAAAACTTGGTGATTCTGTTTAAATTTCGATTTATCATTCG